AAGCGATATCTTTGGGCCCCTCGATGATTTAGTGATGACAAACGTAAATGCTCGGTCGGGCTAGGGCTAATTTGATTTGTTCAATTAGTCAGTCTTCATAAATCGGAAGTCGGGAAATAGTACATAGAGAATAATTAGAAATCATGTCTCATACGATATCTAGAATGGAGGAATATATGATCCCTTATCTAAAGGACACGCGTATCTGATAGGATCAGAGTTGACAGCGGCTTTGGAAAGCTACGATTGCAGATCAGGATCTGAGGTCATACGCGGAATAGTTATTAGACTTATCCAAGTGGGAGACTGTTGGATTAGTGTCTAAGTCCATAACTATTTTGGTATGTACTTGACCTGATGGTGCATGGTCCTTTTGGGTTGCCTTCACCAAAGCAACTTTATATGATGAATTATGGAGAGAAATGATTAAATATGATTTATTAATATATTACGGGAATAATATATTAAAGGAGAAATCATATTGTTTAATTAATATTAGTCAAGAATTAATAAGAATTAAGTTTGTGGCTAAAAGAGATTAATTAAACTTAAGGGACTAGAATTGTAATTATAAGATAATTGAAATTGGGTTATGGATTGCCTTATATTATAAGGATGGACGAATTCTATGGGGAAACCCATTGGAAATCGTCCAAGGCATTTAATTAAAGGAGTCCATGGGTTGCTTAGGGCTTAACCATCCAAATTAGGGTTTCCTTGTTAGATAACCCTAATAGTCTCACTATATATAGAGCCCTTATGCTCCAAAAACGGGGTGAACTGAAAATATAGGGTTTCCACACATTTTTGAGAGCCTCCTTCTCTTCTCCTCTTCATCCTCTTGCTCTTGGTGTTTGTGAACCATTAAAGGAGTGACATTTGTGACTCTAAGCTTTCTAAAGTCATTACAAGAAGGATTTGTGATTGTTATTGCTACATAATAATCAAGGTAATATCTTAAACCCATTATTATGTTAATATTGATTTTCATATACTAGAATTAGGGTTTATAATCTTGGATAAATTGCATGTACAATAAAGAAACCTAGATCCAAGCATTAGGGTTTGTATGAGCACATAGGATGTTCTTATGACTAAAACTCATCAAAAATATCATATCACTGTTATTTGATCACTTTTATTGACAAAAACGTGTTCATAAAAGTTATTATAACGATATGGGAAATTTCCAAAAAAAAAACGTAGACAAAATGTAAATTCTAACATATTTTAACCATATAATTGCTTTCCTGCACAATGCACGAGGATTCGTCTAGTTTAATAATAATGTGTTTGATGTGTGTGAACTCAACTAGTTTTAATCCTACTTTTTAAATATAAATTTAACACACAAAAGACAGTGTACCTGTCAATTGGTGGTATAATTAAGCAAGCAGTGTATCGAACACAGGAAACGGTGAATTAAACTAACTACTAGAATTATCTAAAAAGCAAATAATAAAAGGAAGGGTTTTCTCTACTTTGCAAGACTAGAAACTTAACTAAAACTTAACTAATCAACTAATAGCTGAAAACACGTCAAAACCAACTAAATTCAATGATCAAAAGGGTTTATGTTTGGGTTCGATTCATTTACTCCTATGGTTAATTTTTATAATAAGGTAATAGATCAATTGTTATTGGTTACCGACTATAGTGATTAGATTCACATTCTTTATTACCAATCCTTAGAAAATAAATTAATTTAAGCAGTGATCAAGTGATTAAACTAATTAACTCCCTAGTTTAATTATTCGAGTTAAATAAGACTTGTAATTAGCTAACTAAATTGATGATTCAATTAACCTCTTGTTGATGGTGTATGATACAAGCTCACACATTAATTTACCCATTCTCTAGTTAATCCTAGTTTCATATTCATTATTCCTAGGCATATAGCAATGTGTTCACATAAATTATATGAGATAAGCAATCAAGAGATGTTCATGCAGCTTAATTACTTAACAATTAGTATAAAATAGTTATGGTGAATGCATAAGGATCTTTAACAAGCTTAATTTAACAAAATTCACCACATAATTTGAACAATATTAAGTATCTTTTGTCCATAATATGTAAATAATTAGCTAACAAATAACGAAAATATATACTAAATGTATAGCTAAATATGCACATATCAATGTTCCATTATAATTTTTCACTCCATCGAGTCCATCAAGTCCATTCCATGGTGGAACTAGAAAAAACACTAAAGAATGAAATTTAGCAAAATGGAAGGAGTACATTCTATTCCATCAAGCATAACTCTTTTTTGTAATTATCATGGATCAAGCTTCCAATACTTTATATTTTTAGTTACGTATCCTTTACACAAGCTTTACAATACATTATATTCCTAGTTACATGTCCATAAATCAATCTTTTTTACCTAAGATCAATATCACATTTCGGGCATGTAACCCAATTTATGATGCCACACTTTGATTTATCATTGAAAGATATGGATATATCCAATATTCATGTCACCGTTATTTTTTTGAGAAAAAATCACATGTTGTTTTCCTTTCATTAACATTAGAGAACCTTTAACTAAACATCTTCACCAAAATACTTATGTTCATGCTTGGCTAAAGTATAAGAGAAATCAAATTCTTCTAAAGGTCACGAATATTTCATCAATCCAGTGATCTGACTATACCATCCAGTCAAAACCTCACACTTATATCCTTCATCAGAACTATCATGAACAACAACTTTATTATCGTTATTTCTTGGTTCTCCCTTACAATTTCCCATTTTTGTGGATAATCTCTTTTTCACGTTCCCATGTTGATAGCATTTGACTTTAGCATTCGATTTGGAACATGACTTCCCCGTGTTTCCATCATCTCTTTTTTTACTTTTCTATCCCTAGAAACGAACAGGCCAAACCAGACCCATCTTTAGTACTACAAACCTCTCATTTTAGTTCTTTGGACAACAAAGCATCATTAACGTTATTGTTGTTCTACCATACAACATGGCATCCATAAAATTCTCATATGAATTTGGTAGCAAACACAAAAGAATAAGAGTTTGATCATCATCATCATCAAGTTTAGCCTTGATACCTTGTAAATCTACAACTATACTATTAAAAGTGCTCAAATGTTCTTTAACTTGAGTACTTTATGACATTTGGATATATACAAATGTTGCTTCTGATGTAGCTGATTTGTGGGAGTATTCTTCTAATATTTGTGACAAGGTTTCTGCCATAACTCAGCGACAGTTGTTTAATCCACAACTTCGAATAAAACTTTGTCTATCATACATAAAAGAATCGCACTATGCTTTAAAATATCCCTCTTCACATTTGTTGCATCAGAAGAGTCTTTATCTTTACCTTCCATAAAGTGAAGTCATTTGAGCCATTAAACTTATACAAATCAAACATGTAAGATACATCTCTTTAATCAACAAAATAAACCACTTGAATGATCTTGCTGTCGTACCACTTGTTATGTAAATCGTTTAAAGGGAAACAAAGAAAAAAAATGACAAAGAATTTTTGTAATTCGGTTAATGTGACCTATATCTATAAGCAGGAACTGAAGAACTCTTATTCATCATGCAAATAGTTTCACATGTTGCATTAGGAAACTAGCTATGAATATTATAAATGTAAACATAGTTCAATCGTTGGTGGTAGTTTCTACATATTATTGTTGCTCTAATGGTTAAAAACAACATGTAAGTTAGTTTCAGCTCTAGTTTACTAGTTGGCAAAAGATTGACTACAATGGATGTATCAGTTTTGGTTGAATATGACTAATAAAACTTTTGATGTGGTTATCCACACAACTTATCTGATTCTTTGGTCGTTCCAAATGCTAACCATTTTAACACGCCAAAATCCATAAAGGTTCTTATTTTGAATTTTTTATAATATTGTAGTTCAATCTTATTGTTGGCTTTCTAGTATAAACCATAGAAAGAAATTGTATTAGGTAAAACGAACTAAAGATTCAAATGTGACTGTTTATATCTTGTAACTTCAGGAAATCTCCAATAAAATCTTAATATTTTTGGTAAATTTACGGTTTAATCCCAACTTTTATTTTTTGAACAGAAAAATTTTAATTAATTTATATTTTACTCAAGCTAACGAAACAAATATTTTTTAACAGAAAATGACAGATTCTCGTATAAAATTAGATAATTTGATTTTTCTGTTTAAAAAAATAAATGTTAGGATTAAACCGTAAACTGACCAAAAATATTATGACTTTATCGGAAATTTCCCAATGACTTCTTCAATTACTTTTGAATAAAATTGTCATTTAAGAAAAAAAAAAGTTAGTTCGAGTCTAAAGCCTTTAAAATCAAGATTAATCAAATATTTGTCAAAGGTTTGATAAAAGTTCATTTGTTTTTGTATTACTTTATATCAGAAAATCCCTTTTCAAAATCCAAACATCTTCAAATAAAAAGCAATATAGTTTAAAAAAAAAAAAAAAGTGAAAAACAAAGTATAGCATATGATAGACATGTGAAGTTGATAATAATGAGTTGGGAATTTCCAAATTCTTACATATAGGACCACAAAGTTCTTGCCATATTTACAATGGTCCCATCCCATTTGACCTCAATACCCATGTGGTCAAAAGGATCTTCAACACTTATTAATTTACTCTCTTTCTCCTCAAATTTTGTCCCCGAGATTAATAAAGACGACCAAAAGTACCACTATACATTTTTGTTTCACTCTATGCTACTAGTGCTACTATGTTTGTTAGTATGTGGGGATAAGTTTCAGAAAATGAGAGCTCATACCTCTCATCTTTCATTAAAAGAGTGGTCCAAATTCACCACCATAATTGACAATTGCGATTTGAGTTTGCGTTTGTTTGTCATTTGGTCTCGTAGATGAGAGGCATATTATCTTTCAATCATAAGTTTCAAACTTTATGGATTTAATTGGTTTCCTACATCGTGTTAACATATATGACTTTGTTTGATACCTTTTATACTTAATTTATTTGTTAAAAGTACAATCATTCTTAATCAAAAACCTTTCTGAATGAGTTACCACTAATAAAACTAGTACAAGTCATTGATTATTAGGCAACCGGTTTACACATGGTCTCCTCAAAAATTCTTTACATTATATATATACAACAATACACCATATTCCTAATCAAAAACTAACCGATTCCAATATAATTTCAAGAGGATCAAAAATCAATCAACGTCCATTTCCAAATCATCAATTTCAACGGCTCAAAAGTCAAAAACACTAGTTGTGGTTTGTCTTGCTTTTCTTAAGCATTGACGCGTGGGTCCCACCAATGAGATGATCTATAGCCTCGGCTGCAGCATCTTTTTCAGCTTGTTTCTTGTTGTGACAAGGGTGGCCTGTAATCTGCAAGCCATTGAATTCACAAACGGATCTAAACTGGTTGTTTGGCAGCTGGCTTGTTCGGTAGATTGGGGCAGGGTACCCTGCCCGGGTCAGTAGTGTCTGGAGTTGACTTTTTGAATTGTCGCCACCTGGACCACTTTCCACCCTGGACACTGGCGGCAGTTGTTGTTGTGGTGGTGGTGGTGGTGGAGGTACAGACGCGATGTATGGTTTTGAATTGTTGTATAAAACCTGGCGGTTGAATACGAATCTGCCAATGGATTGATCTTCTGGGAGGAGTAAGCGCACAGCGGATAAAAGCTCGTGGTGGGTGTGTAAATCCAATTTGGGATTCAATAGCTGAAATGAATTTTTATAGACAAAAATCAACTGTTGGAGGACTAAAAGTGAAAAATAATGATTTATTACTTACTTTATATTGGAATAACTCATCGAGCTCTTTTCTTAAGTTGAGATACATTTCAGCCAATGAAGGTTCCATGAAGAACTCCAAGTATCCTCCCAGCATTTTCAAGTGCCCATCCTGTTTCATATCATGGAATGGAATGGAATCATTATAAGAAAGGAACGGAATGGAATGGAAAGGTAATAATAGACTTACTATATCGCCTTTTGAGATGCTTCCACCGAACAGAAGCAGGACGGAATCGGAAACAGCAGTTGTATCTCGGAGAAAAACAGAGTTCACTTTGATCTTTTCATTAAAGACCAACCACGGGAATGGAATTCTCAAATCCCGGGAATTAACCGAGTTCTAAAGCAATCAAAAAAAAAATCAGATGACAAAAAAAAAAACAAAGATTAAAAAAAGAAAATTATTAGAATTTAGACAAACGAACTTACCGAGTGTAAAAGCACCTGACCATCCTCCATGGTTTTTAGCGAGAACGACTTTTCATTATGCTGATTTCAGCAAAAGTGAACTCAACATGAGTGTTGTTACTTATAAATTTATAATTATAAAGAGAGATTAACTTTTATTTTTAAAATAAGAAAAAAGAAACTTACGACAATGGAGGAAATTCCGGGATACAAGCCGTAGCAGATGATTGCGCGAATGAGATTTTCGTCATAACTCCAAGCATTGAAAATGACCATATTGCCATCGACAAGACCAGTATCTTTAAGCAAAGATAAAAACTCCCTTCTCAAAGAATCAATAGCTTTCATGGACTGAGCAGACAGGAAATTCTTCCAACAATATTCATATCCACCAAGTGCATGTTCAGCCACTTTCCAACCCTCATACGCCCTCACAAGGGCAAAATGGTCACTATGATCTCGCGAAAATTGCGCTTTCGCCGCCTCCGCCAGCTGTACAAAAATAAACACCCATTATTTTCATAAAATATAATAAATTATTATGATAAAAAGGGACTTACTTCTTTTTTATCTAAAGGCGCTAAAAAAGGATCTCTGACACTAAGTCCAGCAACAACTGTGAGTATTGGATCAAGGCAATTAAGAATTGCTCCCAAAATCAACATTTTTCCAAGTTTGGGCTCCACAGGAAGCATTGTCAAATAACGACCTATAAAATGTACGTTTCCAAAAATTTATTATAAAAGTTTTGGAATATAAAAAATAAAAAAAATAAAAAAAATAAACATATACCAAGTACAGTTAGATCTTCGTTCTCATCTAAAGCGCCAATAATCTTGAGATACTCAATGGCATTTTGAACCTATGAATGGGATATAATAAGTATGATATTTTTTCCTTTTTATAGCATAGTACTTATTATATACAGATAAATCCATTGAAAAATGAGGAAGAGAAATTACTGCTAATAACTCTGGTGATTGTAGAGCTTTAGATAAGAATTCAGAAATACTTCCAAGTTTTAATGTTTTAATTTGAAGACAAAGTGACTGAAGAGGTGTTCTCAGTATTTCAGGCAACTGATATTCTGCAAAAGCATTGAAGACACATCGAGGGTATAAATGGTAACATTCTCCTGGCTGAACACGCCCAGCTCGACCTCGCCTCTGTTAAATCATATCAAAAACAATATAATATAGAAAAAATATAAAAATTACCAAAATACCCTTTTCCCAAGAAACTCACTTGTTTAGCAGAAACTTTTGATATCCAAGCAGGAAGGAGACAAGGGGTGTTATTCAAAGCATCATATGATGTTTCTTTGGCTTTTCCACAATCGATAACAAAAACAACATCATCTATTGTGATACTTGTTTCAGCCATATTTGTAGCCAAAACTATCTTTCTCACCCCATTTTCTGGCTTTTCAAAGATTTGTCTCTACATCAAGAAGATAAAAAATAAATAAATAAAGATTAAAAAAGTTTTTAGTTTTTTTTTAAATGATATTAGTTTCTACCTGTTCTGAGCTGGCCATAGAGCCATGACATGCAAGCAACAAAACTCGATTTGCATCCCCCAAAAGATGATTTGCTTGTAACTTTTCCTTCAAAGAGCTTATGTCATCCCACCCAGTCATAAATACCAAAACTGCCCCTGGCTTTTCACTCCCACATATACTCAATAGTAGAAACTCAATGAGATTGAATCCCATGCAATCAGGATTCCAACATGACATAGAATCCCGTGTTTGTGGACTATAGCCTCTAAAGTCAGCATATCCAAGTGCCTCTTCAACAGCTGAAGCAATTTGACTTTTTCTTTTTCTTATAAACTGTTTATTTGACTTCCATGTTCTTTCTTGACCATAATCATCGATTTGATTCTCTGCTGTCAATCTGTATCCAGTTGTTTCCAGAACATCTTCAAGAAAATAGGAATGCACAGGGTGCGTAAAACCCTACAACATTTCAAAAAACTAATGACATAAATAATTAAACATGGATAAAAAATTAATAAAAAAACAAAAATATTACCGGAATCTGAACCACTGGAACACCACCAAAGTAGGTTGAAAAAAGATTTGCATCCAATGTTGCACTCATCAAAACAAGCCTTAATTCTGGCCTTCGAGGAAGTAATTCTTTCAAAACAATAAGCAGAAAATCTGAAAACAAGAAAGAAGTTTAATTATTTTTTACATATATATTTAACCATAATAGTACTATTATGGTTAAATATATAAACATTAATTACCTTCATTCATGCCACGTTCATGAATCTCATCTACAATAACATGAGTAACATCTTTCAAGTTTCTATCAACAAGTAGTCTTCTCAACAAGATTCCTGTAGTGCAAAACAGAAGTCGGGTGTCTCTTCCTTTTATACCCTCTAACCGAACTTTATATCCAACCTTTAAGAAGAAAGAAAAGGGTTTAAATTTAATAAAGATATGAGAAAGTCAATGAAAGTCAAAGATCATTGGGGTAAAGTATTGCTTACAGTTCCACCCAATTTTTCGCCTCTCTCTGTGGCAATTCTTTCTGAAACAGACATGGTGGAAATACGTCTAGGTTGAGTGCATATGATACTACATGTGGCCCCACGAAAAGAATCAATCTCTGATTCTAGAATGAACTGAGGAATCTGTGTTGTTTTCCCACAACCAGTTTCACCTGAGATGATAACAACCTATAAAAAAAATGTATATTATTTGAATATGCATATATCTGCTATCTTCACATGAAAGCTTGACTTTACGATGAAGTTAAAGTTAGAAGCTTCAAGATTCAAGAACAACTTTAATGGTAAAAATGGATATGTAAACATCAAAAACTTTGAAAGAAAGTGTATGAAATACCTGATTCTGTGAAATGGCATTTAATATTGTATTTCTCTCTTTGTAAGCAGGGAGATTTTTACGAAGCTGTTGCATCCTCCAACCATCTGAAGATTCCTATAATAAATGAACATTTGTCATAATAGTATTTGTACTATTATTTTACTTACATATTCAATTCTTAGATTTACAAAATAACAAAGTGCATAAGCATAACATTACCAAATGCTATCAACAAATAACTATGAATGATAATAACTGGAGACACAATTAGTCCCCTTTAAATAATAATAGTGTAGAACAGTAGAAGATAAATAAAACTTTGAATCGTTAATTATCAACATTTAACATTAGTCAACTGAAAAAGGATTTACACAGTTAGAGGTTTGTTTGCAATATCTTCTTTCCCATTTTATATGTTTCTTATGCTATGAATTCCCACATAATAATAATAATACACTACATAACAGGTTTAAAATCAGTTTGTGATTAGTTTTAAGAATTGAACCTGCCAAGCTTGTTGCTCAGCCTGCAGTTGCACACTCCTCCTCCAAAGGAGTTTCTCAATGGCAGCTTTGCCTTGTGATGACAACTCTGGTAGCTCAAAGAAACCTTCATCAGTACCATTGTTACTTGTCTTTGAAATCAAATCATCTTGAGACCCTTTCATACTTTCAGCCTTAAAAGAAAGATATTCTTTCAAATGAGCATCAACTCTCTTTTGCAACCCCTCAGGCAAGGCCACCTCCCTCTGAGGGCGTTTATCATCAAGATCAAATCGGTAGTTTGGCAATGGAACCTTGCTAACAACAAGCACTTTGGCATACAAATGGCTGTCAAGATTTAGAGGAAAAAGGTTATTTTGGTCAATAATATATATAAGTAGGCATGTGTGCTAACTCTTGAGATGATGATAGTACCTGTGCAAACCCATGCTAGTTGCTAGGGCTGATATTTGTTCATAGTCACGCCTGTCTTTTTTTTCCCTTGAAACCAGTTCTTGTTTATCCTTGCTGTTTATTAGTGTTGTTAGCTTCCACTTCCAAGATTCTATATCAGAGGTGTAAGCACCCTGGAAATGTATAAAGAATATTAAAATACAACAGCAAGTTTTATGATTGATTCCTAACACAATAAAGAGACCATGTTGATATTTTCTATGATTTCTTGAAAGTTTTATCATTGATTCTTCCTATGATTACTTCAAATTGCACACAGTGATGCTTGTCCTGACAATTTTACGAACCATAGCACTGAGTATCACTTGAGAAACGACAGAATGATCGAAGTGAACTGAGGAGGAAGCATGTTACTAAACACTTACGTTATTCTTGTCATGAACTTGGTTAAATAACTTCAATTATATTCTTTACTAAAAAAACTAAAATTGCTAATTTTACAAGGAATGTAGTTAAATAAAACTCACAGTATGGAAAGAGAAATCGAATTCGCGATGGGGGCCTTCTTGAGAGACGGCAACGGCCTGAGATTTTATAATTTGGTGAGGAGGCAAGTAAGGATAAGGAACTGTAATCCTATTGTTAATATTGCTCTGAGATGAACTAACAAAAGAGGTTTTGTTGTCAAGAACAGCATGGGGAGTAGATGAGATATCGGGTAGAGGGGCAGGGACAGGGACAGGGACAGGGACAGGGACAGGGGCAGGGGCAGGGGCAAGGGCAGGGGCAGAGGTAGTGACGACGGAGCGAAGGCGATGGTGCGGAGGCACGTACACGGAGCCGTACGAAGACGGACGCGGTATGTCCTTCATCGCCGTAAACGGTGGTGGTTGTGAGGTTTTATCAAGGGCTTTAGGGCACGAAAGATAATGGTGAAAAGCGATTTACATACACAAGAAGGCTAATTAGCCACCGCACCAGGATGGTGGTATGTTGTCAGTAAAACGGCGGCGGTGGAGACGGGGACGGTGAAAATGGTGGTGAGGGTGCTGATAGATGGTTGAATCCGGTGGATTGCCAGAAAGGGTTTGGTTTGTACCAAATAAATTTCAGATGCAGTCCTGAGCATATACCAATAATAATATATTATTATTTGAGAACTGAAAGAAAGAGTTTTTCTTTTTTTTTTTATCATTAAAAGGACATGATTATTGTTAAAATATTATATAGAATAAAATCATAAATTGCTTTCGAATGTAATAATATATTGTTTTTAGGGTTAATTAAAAAAAAATTGACCATATCATATTGGATTTGACGAACTATTTTGTTACTCAACGAAATGAGCAATAAGTCTAGAAAAGTAATGTTCCGGACTATACTAAAATCATGTTGGATAGTTTAGGTTTCGATATGATATGAATCTTTTTTTTAATATGTATTGGACTTAAATTGTCTGTTATTTCAAATATATAAAAAATTAATTAGTTTAACATTGAAATCATAAATATATATAACTAGTTATATATATATATATATATATATATATATATATATATATATATATATATATATATATATAAAAGTTAGAAAATTTTGAGTTGTAAGCAATTAGTTTTTAGTTGGAAGGATTTTTAAGTTGTAGTGGAAATTTCAAAATGAATATAATACGAGAAAAACAACATCCATTATCATTTTTTGTTAGAAAAACAGTAGTAGAATTTTCAAATGAATATGGTACAAAGAAAATAATCTATATTATAGTTTATGTAACATCATAAAAATCATACCATAAAATTTTGAAAATCATAATATATTCTTACCAAAAGGTTTCATTTATATTCATTGTTAAACCATGAAATCATCTTTTCATGTCACATTAACATAATCATAGTAAAAATGTGGAAGCTAAGTTTTGTTTTAAAAACCATAATGTGACATAGAATGGTTAACTAAATGGCATGTCCCTCCGAGAATATTCATATATCTCAATCATGTCAACTCCTTGTCTGTCGAGCTTGAAGGATATACAACTAAAAACATAAAGTAAATGTGAGCTTAGGCTTATTAAGTAATCACAACATTCACTCATTATACAGATCATATGTAATACATATAATCACACATGATAACACATACTTCAAGTAATAAATCACATATTACTTATGATCTACCCCATAATATATATATATATATATATATATATATATATATATATATATATATATATATATATATATATAAATAAGCATTTAGCCTTTAATGTTGAATTTTAAGAGATACACCCCTTAAAACAGCATTTACAACAACTTCATACATTCCTAAAAACTCCTATCTTATTCATTCAACCATTAAAAAAGTCAACAAACATAATACTTTAATTTTGAACCTTTAAATCTCGATTAGTCTTGACCAGGTCATCATTTCTTATTTCGTCCAACAACCTCCCCACTATATCACCCTTTCTTTCGCCCTGTAATGCATTCATCTTCTACACCATTTATATAACCCTCCTCCTTCCCCCCTCATCCACTCTTCTGTCATTCATCATTTACTACATGCCGCTTTCAACCACATGTTTCCCTCACCACCTCTACCACATTATTTCTCTCAATATCAAACCCTACTTATCTTTATCCCATCGATTTGTCGGTTACGATCTTAGATTGGTTGTGTCATACAAATAACAGTGCAGCCATGAGGCCTAAGGTAAGCATCAATCCTCAAACCCACACCACAAGGCTAAGTGATAAACACATTAAGGTTGCTCTAATTTGATGAAGATGGAAAAAAATTGGTTTATTCTCACACTCGAGCCCTAAGTCTATATTCAAGTTGATGTTTTTATTTTGTCCTTTGCAGTTCCATCTCTCTTTCACTCTCACATAACGCTATCGATCATTATGGTTTATACTTCCCCCTCCTGGATTAAAGCAAGGTATGTTATCCTTACAAATTCCGTAGATGAGTGTTTCAATAACCCATATCGATAGAAGCCTACTTGTCACAACTAGGAATTTGGTGCCTTGTAAACATTGAACAACGATAACAAATGTGAACCAACAATGTGAAAGCATGTATGATGCTTATTCAATAACAACAAACTTCCATCAAACACTTCATAAGAGCACATCAAATAGTCAACAAAAGGTTGGAAGCCCTAAAAATCCCGGTTTAAGTCCATTGTGGACTAGGATTTCCTTGTTGGGCCTAATGGACCAATAAGTTTCCAATTTGATATCTTTGAGCTTAGAACTCTTATATGGGCTCTAATTTGGAGCCACCTTCATTTATTTTAATATTTTGGGCCATATTAGGCCTAGAAGGAAATAAAATACCCTAATGGGCTCTTTTGGGCCATAACAAATCTAATTAACCTAATGGACCAATAAGCTTCCAATTTAACTATCTTGAACATAGAACTCTCAAATGGGCCCTAATTGGATCCATAAACATGAAACTTAATAATTTCGGCTTTACAAACCTAAAATAAAGTAGGTTAACTTTAATAGGCCTTATTGGGTCACAACAAATTTAAATTAGCCCTAGTAGGTCATAAAAATCATACTTTGATTTATTTGGGGCCAAAAATCATCTAAGTGAATCATAAGATGGGCCTAAGAGCAAAAAGCCCAATTTTCTTCTTTTCCCCTCTCATCTTCTTGGCCCAACAACCCAAAATAGAATAGGGTTGACTTCCATTTGCCACCTCACATTTACCCATAGGTCCTCCATGCATATAACTCATATCTCCATGCAACCATCACTTCATCTACTCTCTCTTCTCCTCTCTTTTTCTCTCGGTCGAAACAACACAAACACACACACACACACATTTCACTCAAACTCTCTCAAAAAACTCTCTTCACTCTTCATCAAAAAAAATCAAGATTTAGAGCTTGATAAGGAGTTTCTTCCACAAAAATCATCATTCAAGGTAAGTGTATGTTTGGATCTATGATCTAGATTCTTTGTTTTATCAAAATATCTTCCTAATCTATCCAAACTCATAATCACCATCTTAGAAACACCTAAGTTCGAGTCCTCCAAGGAAAGCTTACTAGGCCAAGATTTGCACCAAACTTCTTCATTTCTCTCTTCAAAACCGAAACCACAACTCAAGGTGAGCTTCATACCCCTCTATTTTCGGTTTTCATATGTTTTATGGGGGAGAATACAAGAAAATGTGTAGATCTATGTGTATATGTCTGCTATGTGTGATTTTATGCATGTATGTATGATTTTATGTGTTTTTATGATGAACATGCAACTAAAAAGGGGTGTTAACTCGGGATCTATGACATGATAAAGTAAAAAAAAACATGATCTAAGTTATTTTACACCAAACAAGTCATTAATAATAACTTATAAGATCGTGTTAAATATACTTCAACATAAAACCCATCTTTGGGCTTAAATTGTCAAATATACAAAAATTTGTTAAAAGTTGCCAAATCACGGTTTCTTAAGGGTTAAAGAGTCAAAACAGATAAAATAATTGTTTTTATGAACATTAAAATTTTCAAAGGACTTGAAATGTAAATTTTTGGCTTAATGGGCTAATTTTGGGCTTTTCGGCCCAATAGGCCCAAAATTGCAAAAAATGACATTTGGAAGGGCTGAAATGATAATTTCCTCCAAAAAAGGGACAAAAAGTGTATCAAAACTATTTTAAGGATTGAAAATGCTTTTTATTTCCAAAAAGGGATCAAAACGTAAAGTTTTTGGATTTTGGGCTAAAAGTGTAAAAATTGAAAAAAGTTGGGCTTTAACCGGAAAATATCATTCTGGAAGGGCTGAATCTGTAAACAAAATAAGTTTTGAGTTAAAAATATCATTTCAACCAATCTATGATGTAAAATTGTCAAGAAAATGTTTTAAGGACCTAAAATGACTTTTCTTTTATATTAAGGACTAAATTTGTCATTTTACAGAAGAAAGGGGCTGAAAAAGGTCAAACCACTATTTTTAAATCAATTATGTTATTTATAGAAGATTGAGTCAAAAATACTAATATACGGTTGACAAAATTCGAAAGACAAATACACGTATAACTCCAAATATCGTATAAACAAATCGATCGGTCTCGAGTCGATACAAAAACAAAAACCGTTAAATCGAACCCTCCAATAGATATGAGATACCAAAGACGAGTAATTATTCAAACTTTAAGCTTGAAAGTTTCAAATCATGTTGGTTGGACCTTGCAAGTCCATTAACATGATCTTTGAGCCCAAAGGGATAACATTTATATGTTATTGGGCCTCCTATGGCCCAATTCCATATAAAGGGACCTTAAATGGCTCTCAAGTGCTTTTGGGTCTTAGTGATCCAATAGTATTGCCAGTAAGGTCAAGGTAATCAAATGCGAGATGGGCCAACGAGTCTTTCGCATCCCCGATGGCCCAAAGTAAACTCACGGAAGTAGCAGGATTGTACCCCTCTTTTTCCTCGTTTGCTAGGCTTATGAGTAATCGACGTAAACAGATTCAGGGAGATAATCGAGAGTAATCAAGGTGGTTGGATTAAGTGAGTTATAACGGGCGACGCCTCTAAGGATCATTCGTAAACGATAGTTATAAACTAGTCATTACTAATGCATGGTTATAACAACTCACAAACCTTAATTAATCCAACACCACCCGAGTAATCAAGGAAGAGTAAACCGAATCATTCATTACGGTGGAATAATAATTTGAGAAATCACTGAATTTTATGTATTTGGAAAACGTCGGGTTTTCCGAGGAAGTTCAACATTTTCACTTATACGTTTAATGCTAAGTTCTTCAATTGTACCTGTTTTGAAATCATCACGCATATTGTACGAATCTTCACACTTTTTTTTATAAACAATGGTTTTTTCAGAAAATATCGGATTTTCTGGATTTTACAAACCACACAAATCATTTTAACACAACATACTTATGAACTCACCAACATTTCATATGTTGACCGTTTTTCAAAATAATTTGTATTCTCAGGTAACAGGTAAGCCGAGGAATAAGTACCAAGTGTGTTAGGGTGTTTTTGCTTTTGAAATCTATCAAACAATGTATGTATGGATTTGAAATGTTAAAACAATGTACTTGATGTGAACAATTTCAGTTCTAATATATTGATGCATGGTGA